CTTTGAAGGCTGCTATAAACTACATCTCGCCTTGGTCTGGGTGTAGATGGGAGGGAGGGGCGCTGACCGTGAGGGGGTGCGGGGGTGGGAGGATAGCTTAACGCTGTGGAGGGGTTACGGGGCACTAAAAAACTCCACACAAATCTAGACCTCGCGCTTTCAAGTTTCGATTGACTTCTAATTTGATTGCGACAAAAGAGGTATTAAAATGTTTCAGTCCAATTACAAAGCCATTAAGTCTGCAATTGGTTTGGGGCGATTTGATAAGACTTGATCTAAACAATTTCTTCTGTCATATGAACGGATATTAAATTACGTTGATTAGACCTGTAAAGAGGCACATCAAAGGCGCCGGTCTAATCAAGTCTAGGTATATTTGGCCGTCGTTGACGAAGTTCCAACTGCACCATACGAAGTAACAAGAAGTGATCTGTTGTGTGCCCTCCCCTCCCAGTTGATGGCGTTAATTTATCCGTGATTGTGATAGTTAGCTGGCAATTATTGTTCAATATGTCTGCACGTAGAAAACAAAGATTCGCTCTCATTGCGGGGCTGCTCACTTAAAAACCTTTCTTCTCGCGGTAGTCTCGGCGACACAGGGACTTTCTAAAAAATTATAGTTTATTGGCTTCATAAAATAGCGATCTCACTGTTTGTGATCCTCGCTCAGCACCATACCCGTGCTTGGGTTTCACCAAAGTGATAAAAACGTAATACCTGCATTGCTTCGGGCTTTCCTCCCACAGTAAGTTGACATGCCGTGATATAACTGGAATACTGTTCAACCCATATAATAAGGTGAGGTTAGGTGAAATAAGGTTTATAGTCGCGTTCAAGATTATTGCACTTAGATAGCGCCTGTTAGTGTGTAGCTTATGCCGGTTTAATAGCTCTAGCCCACTGAGATGCAGGCTCACATGGATACCCCACTATGACACAGTGTACTGATTCCGTACCGACCAGTCCTTGTTTTATCCCATTAATGCCTAACAATAAGTACCATCTTCCAGCGTCCTTTGGTCTGACCCGGCCGTGGCTCGAACTACCTAGCTTTCACTCTCCGGGAAGACGCTCCACTAGACCAACTTGGTCAAACAGAAAATGAACCACACATATTTGAAACACTTTGATTTACTGTCTGCGGGAATAAGAAGCAGCTATCCAAATACACCCTCACCCTCTACCTCCACCCCCACCCCCTCCACAAGTGTACGACATCGATATAATGTCAACACAGTACGTACAAAGCTATCCAGTTTTTTTACAGAAATTCTGCCAACGTGAAAAATATAATATTTTTGCGAGTCGTATATTCTTGGGCTATATAGTTACGACAGGAGATTGACTTTATCGCTAGGCCACCTATACTCCACACACTGCCTGGGAATACTGTACACAGATATATGCCCATCTTGTACTCCACACGCTGTCGGGGAATACTGTACATAGAGACATGTCCATCTTGTACTCCACACACTGCCTGGGAATACTGTACATAGAGACATGCCCATCTTGTACTCCACACACTGCCGGGGAATACTGTACATAGAGACATGTCCATCTTGTACTCCACACACTGCCGGGGAATACTGTACACAGAGACATGCCCATCTTGTACTCAACACGCTGCCGGGGAATACTGTACATAGAGACATGCCCATCTTGTACTCCACACACTGCCGGAGAATACTGTACACAGAGACATGCCCATCTTGTACTCCACACACTGACGGGGAGTACTGTACATAGAGACATGCCCATCTTGTACTCCACACACTGTCGGGGAATACTGTACACAGAGACATGCCCATCTTGTACTCCACACACTGACGGGGAGTACTGTACATAGAGACATGCCCATCTTGTACTCAACACACTACCGGGGAATACTGTACATAGAGACATACCCATCTTGTACTCAACACACTGTCGGGGAATTCTGTACACAGAGACATGCCCATCTTGTACTCCACACACTACCGGGGAATACTGTACATAGAGACATGCCCATCTTGTACTCAACACACTACCGGGGAATACTGTACATAGAGACATGCCCATCTTGTACTCCACACACTGCCGGGGAATACTGTACATAGAGACATGCCCATCGTGTACTCCACACACTGTCGGGGAATACTGTACACAGAGACATGCCCATCTTGTACTCCACACACTGACGGGGAATACCGTACATAGAGACATGCCCATCTTGTACTCAACACACTGACGGGGAATACTGTACATAGAGACATACCCATCTTGTACTCAACACACTACCGGGGAATACTGTACATAGAGACATGCCCATCTTGTACTCCACACACTGCCGGGGAATACTGTACATAGAGACATGCCCATCTTGTACTCCACACACTGCCGGGGAATACTGTACATAGAGACATGCCCATCTTGTACTCAACACACTACCGGGGAAAACTGTACATAGAGACATGCCCATCTTGTACTCAACACACTGACGGGGAATACTGTACATAGAGACATGCCCATCTTGTACTCCACACACTGCCTGGGAATACTGTACACAGAGACATGCCCATCTTGTACTCAACACACTACCGGGGAATACTGTACACAGAGACATGCCCATCTTGTACTCCACACACTGTCGAGGAATACTGTACATAGAGACATGCCCATCTTGTACTCCACACACTGACGGGGAATACTGTACATAGAGACATGCCCATCTTGTACTCCACACACTGCCGGGGAATACTGTACATAGAGACATGCCCATCTCGTACTCCACACACTGCCTGGGAATACTGTACATAGAGACATGCCCATCTTGTACTCAACACACTACCGGGGAATACTGTACATAGAGACATGCCCATCTTGTACTCCACACACTGCAGGGTAATACTGTACATAGAGACATGTCCATCTTGTACTCCACACACTGACGAGGAATACTGTACACAGAGATATGTCCATCTGATACTCCACACACTGCTGGTACTGTCCATAAATGCCCCGTGATAGTGATGGTACTTATATAATTGAAGCCAGTTTGTAATGCCCCGCGATATAGCTGGTATATTCAACAGAGGCCAGTTTGTAGTGCCCCTTGATAATGCTGTTATATATTTAATTGAAGGCAATTTGTAGTGCCCAGCGATAATGCTGGTATATTCAATTGAAGGCAGTTTTTAAGGCCCCGTTATAATGCTGGTGTATTCAATAGAAGCCAGTTTGTAGTGCCCCGTTATAATGCTGGTATGTTCAATTGAAGCCAGTTTGTAGTGCCCCCTGATATTGCTGGTATGTTCAATTAAAGCCTGTTTGTAGTGCCCAGCGATAATGCTGGTATATTCAGTTGAAGGCAGTTTGTAGTGCCCCGTAATATTGCTGGTATATTCAATTGAAGCCAGTTTGTAGTGCCCCGTGATATAGCTGGTATATTCAATAGAGGCCATTTTGTAGTGCCATGTGATAATCCTGGTAATTTCAATTGAAGCAAGTTTGTAGTGCCCTGTCATATTGCTAGTATATTTAATTGAAGCCAGTTTGTAGTACCCTGTGATATTACTGGTATATTCAATTGAAGGCAATTGTAGTACCCTGTCATATTGCTGGTATATTTAATTGAAGCCAGTTTGTAGTGCCCTGTGATATTGCTGGTACATTCAACTGAAGGCAGTTTCTAAGGCCCCGTGATAATGCATGTGTATTCAATTGAAGCAAGTTTGTAGTGCCCTGTCGTATTGCTGGTATATTCAATAGAGGCCATTTTGTAGTGCCATGTGATATTGCTGGTATAGTCATTTGAAGCCAGGTTGCAGTACCCAGTGATATTACTGGTATATTCAATTGAAGGCAATTGTAGTACCCTGTGACATTGCTGGTATATTCAATTGAGGGCAGTTTGTAAGGCCCCCTGATATTGCTGGTGTATTCAATTGAAGCCAGTTTGTAGTGCCCAGTGATAATGCAGGTATATTCAATTGAAGCCAGTTTGTACTACGCCGTGATAATGCTGGTATATTCAATCGAATCCGGTTTGTAGTACTCTCTGGTATTGCTGGTATATTCAACTGAAGACATTTTGTTGTGCCCTATGATATTGCTGGTATAATCATTTGAAGCCAGTGGGTGGTGTCCCGTGATATTGCTAGGTATATATCGAACACGCGATTGATGTCCCCTGTCGTGATCTCGTTCAATACAAGCGGCATATAAATCTTCTTATACATGTACACTCACACATGCACTCACTCAAGTGGGACGAATTGCGAAGAAATACTTTGTCTATGTTCTGTGACTAAGTACGACTACAGAATGAGAGGAACAGCTATAAAACAAGCGACATGTCCCGGGGGGCCCCGGGGTGAGCCTATGTGTGACAAGGGGTGGCGCTCGACGTGATCTAACCCCCACTGCGTCACGTATCTACACCACTTGTCCCCTGCTTACCATTATTACCGTGTGATCGATTACCGGACACCTGTATGCAATCAAAATTAAATTTGTTTCCAAACGTGATGATTTTAATTCACTTGATCATAACAACTTGATTGCTTCTCAATTCCTGTGGGTGTTAGTTCTCATGCTTGTAACAAGCTGCAAGTGACGAGGGGTGACTGTAACCCCAGGGTCATCTGATAGGGGTTATAAACAAACGGGTGTCACCGTCGGTGATCCAGTAGCCGTGCTGCTGTCGGGATATGCTGCCCTGTCGAGGAGGAAAAGGCGTTTGGGGATGTTTACACTCACGCAACACAGAATAAACTCTGACACTCAACCCCCTTGATAATTCCGTAACCGGCAACCTTTTCGTTCCTCAACTGGGAAGTAACTGGTCAAACGATCGATAAGCTAATGGGCTGAACACCCAATGACGCTTATATGGTACTCATGTCAAAAGACCGGCTAATATGTTTGCGGAAACAATTTAATGTGTATTTGAAAAACTATTTCTGAACAATCGCCTTAGCGATAAACAAAGGTTGAAACGTGAGGTGGTGGGGATCGCTATGTACCTGACGTGCTTACCTGGGCCCCAAACTAGCCAACTGCCTCTCCCCCTCCCCCTGCGGTCACCAGGCACCCCCACGATCTCTGTTGCCACTGAAGTTCTATTTGGTGAGCGCGGCCCTCGCATTCCTCGCCCTTGTGAGTGGGAGACGGTGCATGACTTGTCTCAGTACTAATCCAATTACTCAATAAGAAATTACCAGACACATCCGCCAGCTAGCTTGCTACTTCAGTGTGAATGGCTGTAATTGGTGAAAAACAAACTAACATCCTCTTGTCAGCTGTTGCGATACAGACCGAGGAGGTTAATCCCCCCAGACGCTGATGAACTCATTGTATTACCTGGGAAACCGATTCCTAAAACGTTTTGTTCGAAACAAGTGGGATTGATCCGCCACATATCACCGACCGACGGAGTGAACCTCTAGACAGAGCCCAGTCAGTGAACCACTAGACAGAGCCCAGTCGTTACGCATCTAGGTACCGTTGTACAGAATAACCTCAGCGCTACGCATATCGTAAGCCTGTGTTAAGGTAGTGAGTTACTGTCACCTTAGTGCTAAGATCGCTTTGTAAAACGGAAGGCAGATGTTTGTATGAAGAGTTCCCCAAAGCAAAGCTATACTCTAATTACCCCTCAATCAGAGTATAGCATTACGTCTTTACTTCATGCTGGCTAAATACATTTAACTTATCATTTGACTGCGCATGGGTAAGTTTCCGATCTGCGAGGGTGTCTGCATTAATACGCGCATCGCATCAACTAAATATCCCTAGTCTACCATAGTTGTCAAGACTGACGAGATACATATTAGAAATCGAGCTCAAACCATAGAGTATTTGTAAAATTGATGAAGTCATTTCTTGCAATTATCAGTTCGATTACCAGCGATTACTCCTGATGTGACGTCATCGCACCACGTGACCGCACTAATTTCTCCCGCCACGAGTCACTCAGTTGTAATTAAACCACAGCTTCCCTGATATGATTATTAGCGCTATTGATTTCATTATCTCGGCGAATTTGGCCTTGTTTAATCAATGCTAGGGTGCCGAGGAGGCTTGTCAGTTTCACAAGTAGCAACAATAAGACACTCTGGCAAATATTTGTCCTTCATATTAGTGTAATTAATTAAATTGGAAGCCTTTTCTGACATGGCGATAATGAGTTAATTCCTAGGGCCAGAAGTTCGCCAATCACTGGCAGTAAATGCTCGCGTCTCTAAACGCGCGGAGAGCGGCGCGTCAGTCAGGCCGTGCTCCATGTCGCCTGAACGCTTATCCTCTGTACATCAAAGAAGAGGGACCCCTGGGTGCTAATGAAGACGATGGACGGGCATTATAACAGGGGTGATATCTATCAGGAGCTAATCGAATGCTGCAATCTCGGGCGCTCTTTACGAAATCTTAATTTGCAATAAACAGCACCAAAAACAATTCGGTTTCGTTTTTTAACACGATTGAAGGTTATTTAAGTAGTTCAGAGTTAAGATTTTATTTTTTCGCTTCCACTTTTCAGACTTTTTAAGTTAGATTATTCTCAAATTGAAATTAAAAGATTAATTAAGATTTTACAATTATTGGTGGCTTATTCAACCTTCTTAGAACCTTATTTTGTCAGTGAAATGCCAATATTTGCATATCGAAATTGCAGGTTAGACTGACATTTAAGGCATTCATACAAACCCGTCATGTACATGCAAAAACTTTCTTTTTAAACGTTGTTCATAACTAAATAACGATTTGATGTTACAAAAACAAATTAAAACACGATAATGGAAGATAACTACGATCATTGCAACAGTTTCTGTAAATGTATTACACATCTGAAACAGCAATAGCGCATAATGTATATTTTAAAAAACACCCAACAAAAATATATCCATGTACATAATGTATGGATACATTAATAGTAAAGTATCCCATTGAATATAAACAAACAAATACATTATTGCGTAATAATTTCAACAAAAATAGAATATTTTCACGATAATATTAGTATCGAAGTTGAAACGATATAGACTACCGGACACAAGAAAGTAAACACCCATGGTTGATGGTGGCTAAAAGTGACACAAACAAGATATTTTATGGTCAAATACAATTTTCAAGTATATACTTTCTTTTGCCCGGCAGTTTAGATTCAATCTGGCATTAATGTCAAAATGGATACTGTGACGCGACCGTCTCCTATATTACATTAACAGCAGTGATGATACCACTCTATTACAGCACTGAACGTCACTCACTCACTCACTCTCTCGTGGAGTACTCATCACATCCCAGACTAGCGGGAGTCTATGGGAGGAAATCAATGACCGCGAAGGCAAGTTGTGACATTGGGGTTTTGTAAATCGGTCTTCCGTATCGAGCACTGCTTTTATTTAGTATTTTACAAACACAGCATTCAAATCATACCAATCCAAACAAGTGATGAGAAATGTGAATATCTCAGGTTCAGAAGCTCACCTTTATTGGGCGAATTAAAAACGCATGATCAGTGGTTGCTGAGGCTCTCTTGAAGTAAAAACATTTCTTCTTTAGCGCTAAGAAGTCCGTTTTTGCAATTTTGTTGTCAAATTATTAGTGCCAGTTTTTGATACACTTTAATCAAATAAAAAACACACTTTATTTTAACATTCGACCTTTTTTTTCTTTTCTGGAAATTCTGTTTGGCTCACTGGAAATATCATTTCTTAAGTTTCGTAAAATCATCGTAAAATGATCAAATATATAATTGTAAAGGGTGTAAATAAGGCCGATAATTTGAACTTTAAATAAAGATCTGAGAATGAAGAAGTTCCTGAACCGAGATTATCTTGTCCATGTTTGTAATGTTCTTACTATAGCAAAGTCAAAGTCATCAGTCAAATATTTGCTCGTGATCACATATTTAATAATAGCGACGTAACCCTTCCCATTGCCACAAAAAACTCTACAAAAATCGATTGTACGATTGCTTATAAATAAAAAAACCCAAAACAAAACAAAACAAAAAATTCCCACCTTAAATCAACCTTTTGACAGTTTTATGGTTACGTATGCAATTAGTGTTGTCACAGATCCTGAACAGGCAATTGTTGAAGCGAAGTTCTTGACGTATTGGATTATTAACATATTCTTTACATTATACAGTTCATCGGTGCTTTGTCACAAGAAGCCTGTTCTTGTAGCACACACACACATTCTCGTTGAACACTTTGTTGCAGCGCGTCCACGCTTCACCAGATGGATAATGGCTTCTGGAGCTTGAGGACGTGTTGTCTTCTCTGAAATGTCCATCTTTTAGTAGAGTCCAGCCATACCCGTGCAGCTGGGGTAGCTCAACTTGGGCAGAGACGGAAAACTATCCTTTATCTTGCCCAGACATTTATCGTTTTTTGTATAAGATTTATATCTTATACAAAAAATAAAATGTCTGGACACAAATAGCAAAATAGCAAAAACACAAATGAATTGTGTTATGTAAAGAACATATATTTCCGACTCCATAATTCAATTACTGTCATATTATTATTCTCCAATTTTGACTTCAGGATCTGATATGGCCATTTATACGTAATGTGGTGGACTTATTGGATCAGTGATCCCCCAAAGAGGCATTTACCACCAATAAAGAAATAAAAACATGACTCATTGGACTGTATAATGGCGGTACTTAACGTTTCTCAAGATGTATATGACGTCACGTCTTCTGACACTACTTTCAAAGTAACCCGTGAAGATCTGGTTAGGTGAGGTGAGGTGAAATTGGGTTTAACGTCGCGTCAAAGATTATTGCACTTATATAGCGACGTGCATGCACGTGTATGTGTGTGTGTGGCTGCTTGTACTAGTCCGGACTGATGCCGATTTATAGTGCTAGCTCACTGAGATACCATGCCGCAGTTTAACATGAATACCCCACTCAGACACAGTATACTGACTCCGAGCCGACCAGTCCTTGTTTTAGCCCCTTAATGCCGAGCGCCAGACAGGGTAACAACAAGTACAATCTTTTAACGTCTTTTTGTATGACGCGGCCCGGGATCGAACCCTGGACCTTCCGCTCTCCGGGCGGACGCTCTACCACAAGACCACGGAGGCGGTCTAGATCCGGTTAGAATTGATCTTCAGCAACCCATGTTTGTCGTATAAAGCGACTATATTTGTGGTAAGAGGCGACTAACGGGATCGGGTGGATAGGCTAGCTGACTTGGCTGATGCATGTCGTCATATTCCATTTGCGTAGATTGATGCTCATGATGCTCATGTCTGGTCCAGACTGGATTATTTACAAACCGCCGTCATACAGCTGGAATATTGCTGAGTGCGGCGTTAAACAACAAACAAACAAAAGTTTCAAAGTGAAATATACAGAGGTGATATCAACATAGCAACAATATAAATACGGATTAAGGTATTACCGTTTCATCATAATAAACGACACCATGTTATAGAGATACTTGATAACATATTCGCTGGTATTTTACCGGGAGATTTTACGACATACATGCTGCACAAACTGAATCTAGAATCCAGACACAAGAAGTATTCAACTAACATGCCATTTCCTGTACATATTCTCTGTGTATAAATAAACCCCCGTGTGGTCTATATTAGACATGCCATATATCGCAGTAAGTCTCTCACAAGAACAAGATTGACGTGTAATTTGACAACGCTGCCATTTAGATCTGTTAATGTGGAAATCAATCGGTTATATTAGATAGGGAAATCCGGTAAGGCATCATGAGATAAGTTGGTATTAATGTCAGAGTTAATTACAAACAAAGTATGTCATTCACAATCAACAGTGAAAATACGGGTGGACAGGACACGCTTACCCTTTTCACGAACATCTGGGGTCATCACTGATTTTTAGTGATCCATTCATGTATTTGCACCTCCTTTAACGCCAAATGGAATCTGTTCCGGGGGATAATGGGGACTTGTTGCTCTCTCGTAATGATGTTTTATATTCACAAGGCATGAAAAATTATTATTTAAAAAAATACTTAGGTTTAATATTTGAAAAGAAAAATTTTTTTAAAAAAGTTTACATTCTTACATTCGACATATGTAATGTTACATATTTTGGGATTAAAAAACATCTTTCGTAGGTCCAAAGCAATTCATTGACTCCACATATCAGATAAAGTAATTGTGTTTTTGCAGCTCTGACTGAAAACAAATATTCTGTCTCAAACAAAACTCCTATCCCCAATGAATATTTAAAGGCGGACCTTAACTTCACTGAGCCCATCCTGCCTGTGACTGATAATGATGAAAGACACAGTACGCCTATGATCCTGACGAAACACCTGGTGGTATTTGTTGTAACAAGTCCCGAGTGTAGAAATTTGAATGTGAGGCTGTATAATTTTTCATTTGAATACGTTTACTTTGTCATAACTGCTATCTGCTTATCTGACGTGCCGCTGACCACGTCATGACAGTGAGTGAGTATGTTTTTACGCCGCCTTTAGCAATAGTCCAGCGATATCACCAGAAATGGGCATCACACATTGTACCCATGTAGAGAAACGAACCCAAATCTGAGGCGTGACGAGCGAACACCTTAACCACAAGGCTACCCAACTGACCCTCAAATCATGACAAGTGCATAAATACATGTATGTACAGTATCCACGTAATCAGTCAGATCCGCCATCAGCATGGTGACGGATGCTGTCTGGGGCAGCTATAATCACCGAGTCCACTTAACATTGATACTTAGAATCGGTGATTACTCCAGGAACCTACACCCGAAATGTCAGGTCACGACGGTTCTACAAATGTAGTAAGTGACTTATACAAATAGAAAACTCTATTAGGCTGAGGTGGCCGCCCGTCATATATCTCACGAGGAAGGAGGGATGATCCTAGCTTGACCAGATGATAAATAGCCCATTAGCTGTTTGTAGTGTATGTGGACTGACCTGGTCGAGGGGGGCGCTAGGGTCAGCCGTGGTCAGTCCAAGCCCAGAATCACTTCCAGCAACACTGAGAGGAGTGATTAGCACAAGACAAGAGTGACCCTTGACCATTATTGTGGTCAAGGGGAAGGGGCAGGAACCTCTGCGTGGACTTTATTTGAGGCACTCAGATGACCAGATGGGATGGGTGCATGTTTGCACTGGGGACACAGCCTCGCCAATAGATGTACCGTTAATGACATATTTATGCATATGATTATCAGATTGGTATTGTATTCGCGATGAAAAATGGAATGTTATTTTCGAGTTTGTATTTTTGAACATATGAGTTTCTTGTCGGAAATATACCACTCAACTTTTGACAGGGAAATTGCCATTATTCATAATGCATCCAACATCTAACATCAGTGTACCTCAATATCTCTATCAATTGTTGGGTAGTTTGCTCTGCTATATTAGGCTTGTGACGTAGTCTTCAGACAGGATGGCGAGGGGCAATTGGTCATTGTCATAAATTATATTCGACAAGAAACATCCATTATGCTACTTCCCAGCCTATTGACGAAAGAACTCGATGTCATTTATCATTTGGATCATTAACAGGGATGATTTATCACTGAGTGATAGTTGGAGTGATATTGAATTTCTGCCAACATAAACACAAGATAAAGTCGGGTAAAATGGAAGGAGGATAGTAGATAAGATACATCGTAATCGGGGTTTGAAAAGTATCTTCTGTGACCAATTCCGCGATTCATTTGTCTTGCCAGTACTTATAACAGAGAGAAAACAGCTTATCCTTAAACACTTCAAAAAAATTATTAGATGTGCAGAATAAATGTCCTTTTAAAAAGTTCAAAATTAGGTATATTGAGAAAACTTTCAAAATCTTGTAAAATAATCATGTTAACGTTTAAGTCAAGTTGAAGAGTGACACATTGCTAGATCTTAACTGTGTATATATTCCCTGTAAACCATGTTGGCACTAGATATACCATTGTCTTTAACGTACATATTTGTATATGTATATATTGTACCTCTATGCCAGTGACTGCGGCCTGAGTGAATGAAGTTCAGTTCGTACAGAAGAGTTAAAAAGCGGTCCTGACTTTATTTGTGTTCATGTGTGAGCTTTTCATACTTCCACCTGGTACCTCTATCCTTTGCCCTAGCAGGTTTTGCTATTTATTGTTTGAAATCTTTGAATATAGTTGGAAGTTCGAGGAATGGAGACATCCATTGCAACACAACATTGTAACTGTTATCTACCGTAACAAACATCATCAGATCAACTTATTCTTCAGATTATTTCTTCGTTTGGCAGATCTCTCTTGAGAAAACATGATTCTGGATCCTTGCAGTGTAATACCATGAAGACATATCTTTGGATAGTGTGCACTTCCAGGAAGACGCATTTGTGTATTTGCGTACTTTGATGGAGATGTATATAAGGATACGAAGACGCATCTGTTGATAGTACGTACTTCCAGAAAAAAACGTATCTGTTGATAGCACGTACTTCCAGAAAGACGCATCTGTTGATACTACGTACTTCCAGAAAGACTCATCTGTTGGTAATACGTATTTCCAGAAAGACGCATCTGTTGATAGTGCTTACTTCCAAGAAGACGCATCTGTTGATAGTGCGTACTTTCAGAAAGACGCATCTGTTGATAGTGCTTACTTCCAAGAAGACGCATCTGTTGATAGTGCGTACTTTCAGAAATACATATCTGTTGATAATGCGTAATTCCAGAAAAAACGCATCTGTTAATATTACGTAGCTTCCAGAAAGACGCATCTGTTGATGGTACGTACTTCCAGAAAAAAGCATCTGTTGATAGAACATACTTCCAGAAAGATGTATCTGTTGATACTACGTACTTCCAGAAAGACATATCTGTGGATAGTACGTACTTCCAGAAAGACGCATCTGTTGGTCGTACGTACTTCCAGAAAGACGCATCTGTTGATAGTACGTACTTCCAGAAAGACGTATCTGTTGATAGTACGTACTTTCAGAAAGACGCATCTGTTGATAGTACGTACTTTCAGAAAGACACATCTGTTGATAGTGCTTACTTTCAGAAATACATATCTGTGGATAGTGCGTACTTCCAGAAAGACGCATCTGTTGATATTACGTACTGTCAGAAAGACGCATCTGTTGATAGTACGTACTTTCAGAAAGACGCATCTGTTGATAGTGCTTACTTTCAGAAATACATATCTGTGGAATGTGCGTACTTCCAGAAAGACGTATCTGTTGATAGTACGTACTTTCAGAAAGACGCATCTGTTGATAGTGCTTACTTTCAGAAATACATAAATGTAGAATGTGCGTACTTCCAGAAAGACTCATCTGTTGATAGTACGTACTTTCAAAAAGACGTATCTGTTGATAGTACGTACGTTCAGAAAGATATATCTGTTGATAGTACTTACTTCCAGAAAGACGCATCTGTTGATAGTACGTACGTTCAGAAAGACGCATCTGTTGATAGTACTTACTTCCAGAAACACGCATCTGTTGATAGTACGTACTTCCAGAAAGACGCATCTGTTGATAGTACGTACTTCCAGAAAGGCGCATCTGTTGATAGTACGTACTTCCAGAAAGACGCATCCGTTGATAGTACGTACTTCCAGAAAGACGTATCTGTTGATAGTACGTACTTCCAGAAAAAACGCATCTGTTGATAGTACGTAGCTTCCAGAAAGACGCATCTGTGGATAATGCGTACTTCCAGAAAAACGCATCTGTTGATAGAACATACTTCCAGAAAGACGTATCTGTTGATAGTACGTACTTCCAGAAAGACATTTCTGTGGATAGTGCGTACTTCCAGAAAGACGTATCTGTTGATACTACGTACTTCCAGAAAGACATACCTGTGGATAGTGCGTAATTCCAGAAAGACGTATCTGTTGATAGTACGTACTTCCAGAAAGACATATCTGTGGGCAGTGCGTACTTCCAGAAAGACGTATCTGTTGATAGTACGTACTTCCAGAAAGACATATCTGTGGGCAGTGCGTACTTCCAGAAAGACGTATCTGTAGATAGTCCGTACTTTCAGAAAAACGCATCTGTAGATGTAACGTATTATGAAACGGTGCTGAGGGGGCTGTTTTTTTACATCAGCTGGTCATTGGAACGGGGTCGCGGGCAGCACTTTGCTGATGTACTCTGCAACGTCTACTCTACTCTACTCCAAGACTGGTTATCCGGATTGACACTTCTATTTTTCACAAAACACCAGAGATGAAAATACAAACCGCCCAAACATATAAAAACCGGATTATTGACTTATTTTACTTGAGTATGTCGAGTCCGTGAGTTTGTGCAGTTGACTCGCGAACAAACAAGTTTGAAATATTGTGTATAGTGTTCAGAGCATCACTAATAACAAAACATTTTGTCGAAACATCATCCCAACTCTCGTCTCCGCGTCTACTTACGACCTTGAAGTTCGTCTTGTAAATGAGAGTTGCGCCCCTGGACGAAGTGAGCTGTCGTTAGTTATGTCGTCCTCATGTCAGCCGATGCAATCTTGTATTGGGAATTTTTAGTGCTCCGAATTTGACAAATTGATGGAGCTTTGAGGTAATTACAACCAGTTTCATAAACCATCTGCTGACTCGTGTGAAATGTCACAGCCAAAGCATGTCTTGGTGAGTCGATCGTCTCACGGCTGGCTCACCCACACTCAAACCAGTTTGAAGCTAGATTTTCCGTTTAATGCGAGTGTTTCTAACTTGGTGATGTTCGTGTATATACAGACGATTCTGAACACGATGTTAGAATCGGCATCTTATTGTTTCTGATAATCGATCTTGGTGAAAGCTGCGCACTGTATTTCCAGATTGCACTTTGAGAGACCAGCCTGTGGTCGTCGGGTCTTTAGCTGTTGTATTCATACGCCAAAACAATGTCTTTTTTACCGTTCAATTTAGTTAATATGCAACGTTTAAGTGATTAACAAATAATTAGAATCCTCGTTCCCTTTAGATATCTTTGTTTATTACAAATCGTGTACCAGTATTTCTTAAATACACTCATTGTCATAAAAGCTGTATCTAACGAGTTTAGTAATCTATATATCTGTGTCTGTTTGGTATTTCTTAAAGGATTATCTGATGGTGATGATGATGATGTGTGTGTGCATGTGTGTGCATGCACGTGTGCGTGTGTGGCTGCCTGTCCTCGTCCGGACTGATGTCGGTTTTATTGCGCTAGCCCACTGAGATAGCATGCCGCAGTTGGTATCTGATTCCGACCCGATTATCTCTTTTAATATGCAGAGTAACAACAGGTGCCATCTCTTTAGTTCTTTTAGAAAGATTAATCTGCGGTTCTCGCGTTCTATCAGAAACACGGATCTCTGGTTGTCGGGCGCTTCTGGAAAGAGGAATCTGTGGTTTTCGGGTATTTGTAGCAAGACGTCAGGTTCTACAAGAGAGAGGAATCTGTGATGTCTGGTATTTATAGAAAGACGATGTCAGGTTCTACAAGAGAGATGAATCTGTGGTTGTCTGGTATTTCAAGCAAGACGTTGTAAGGTTCTGCAAGAGAAATGAATCTGTGGTTGTCTGGTATTTATAGAAAGACGATGTCAAGTTTTGCAAGAGAGATGAATCTGTGTTTTTCTGGTATTTCAAGCAAGACGTTGTCAGGTTCTGCAAGAGAGATGAATCTGTGGTTGTCGGGTATTTATAGAAAGACGATGTCAAGTTTTGCAAGAGAGATGAATCTGTGGTTTTCTGGTATATCAAGCAAGACGTTGTCAGGTTCTGCAAGAGAGATGAGTCTGTGGTTGTCTGGTATTTATAGAAAGACGATGTCAAGTTTTGCAAGAGAGATGAATCTGTGGTTTTCTGGTATTTCAAGCAAGACGTTGTCAGGTTCTGCAAGAGAGAAAAAACTGTGGTTTTCTAGTATTTCAAGCAGAAGTTGTCAGGTTCTAAAAGAGAGATGAATCTGTGGTTGTCTGGTATTTATAGAAAGACGTTGTCAGGTTCTACAAGAGAGAAAAAACTGTGGTTTTCTAGTATTTCAAGCAGAAGTTGTCAGGTTCTAAAAGAGAGATGAATCTGTGGTTGTCTGGTATTTATAGAAAGACGATGTCAAGTTTTACAAGAGAGATGAATCTGTGGTTGTCTCGTATTTCAAGCAAGACGTTGTCAGGTTCTACAAGAGAGATGAATCTGTGGTTGTCTGGTATTTCAAGCAAGACGTTGTCAGGTTCTACAAGAGAGATGAATCTGCGGTTGTCTGGTATTTCAAGCAAGACGATGTCAAGTTTTACAAGAGAGATGAATCTGTGGTTGTCTGGTATTTCAAGCAAGACGTTGTCAGGTTCTGCAAGAGAGATGGATCTGTGGTTGTCTGGTATTTATAGAAAGACGTTGTCAGGTTCTACAAGAGAGATGAATCTGTGGTTGTCTGGTATTTCAAGCAAGACGATGTCAAGTTTTACAAGAGAGATGAATCTGTGGTTGTCTGGTATTTCAAGCAAGACGTTGTCAGGTTCTACAAGAGAGATGAATCTGTGGTTGTCTGGTATTTATAGAAAGACGTTGTCAGGTTCTACAAGAGAGATGAATCTGTGGTTGTCTGGTATTTATAACAAGACGATGTCAAGTTTTACAAGAGAGATGAATCTGTGGTTGTCTGGTATTTCAAGCAAGACGATGTCAAGTTTTACAAGAGAGATGAATCTGTGGTAGTCTGGTATTTATAGAAAGACGTTGTCAGGTTCTACAAGAGAGATGAATCTGTGGTTGTCTGGTATTTATAACAAGACGATGTCAAGTTTTACAAGAGAGATGAATCTGTGGTTGTCTGGTATTTCAAGCAAGACGTTGTCAGGTTCTACAAGAGAGATGAATCTGTGGTTGTCTGGTATTTATAGAAAGACGTTATCAGGTTCTACAAGAGAGATGAACCAGTGGTCATCGGGTATTTATAGAAAAACGTTGTTCGGCACTTAAGGACAACGGTATCTGTAGATTTCTGGAATATCTAGTAAGACATGTAGTGCAGGGTGAAGGTTAACGTACGTGTATGTGCGTTTAGTAAAATATGAAGGACATTGTCAATGAGATCTTGATAAAGGTGGTTATGAACCATTTTCTTCCAAGTGGTATTCGCTTATGGTGTGGAATACTTCACGCCCACAATAGTCTGGCATTGCATCCGCTCACTGGTACTTATAATGGCTTCTCTGCGTGGGATGGCAGTGATCAAAAGAATAACTACACTCACGAACACTGCAAAGTTACAATGACAGCACCAGGTGTTTCTAGTAACATGTCTAACCTCACTGAAGAGAAGTTCAAACAAGCTTATTCTTTTGTTTCAGTGATTATTTAGAAGTGTCGCTGACTTTAGATCTCTGTGGTGTCTGATACTTATAAATAAACGTGCCTCTGTTTATCAAATACCACACAAAGACCGTAAGAAAAACGTGTCAGTAGCGACTCTTTCGTTGTGAGAAACCTCGGTAAACAATGTGTCTGTGATTGTCAGGCAGAGAGAGAACTCTAAGAACATGTTTTCGGTTCTTGGGGATAAGTAGAGTGAGTGAGTGAGTGAGTGAGTGAGTGAGTGAGTTGTGTTTAAGCCACGTTTAACAGTATTCCAGTTACATCACGGCGTGTCAGCTTAATGTGGGAGGAAAGCCCGAAGAGATGCAAGTATCAGGCGTTTACCACTTTGGTGAAACCCACGAGCACGAGTATGGTGCTGACAAACCATGAAACGTAATCGGGGCGAACCGGGATTCGAATGATCATAAGTCTATAGGGTGTCCAAGGGACGCAACTCTGCACAGTAAATAGCCGGAATCGCTAGAAGATAAAGTCACAGAAGAAAGCATCGCATGACATCAGGTGCAGTGCACCCCCAGGAGAGGATACATGCATAAACATGTACATTTTATGTTCAAATGTATTTTGCATCAAACATCATACTGACAGCTCCCAGAAGAAGGTATGACATTTCTCAAGTAAATAAACCACGCTTCCATATCAAAACTGTCGCAAGTAATAGATAACAGGTACTAATTTAGTCAAATGGAATGTTTATCGTGTAGGCGGACATATCACACCGAGCTAGACGAGACAATGCGCGTTATCAATGTCCACAATGTATGTATAATACCCAACAGTCCCCATGGCCAATACTCTCGTTCCCAGTTGACAAGCGATGCACGTGGGATAGGGAGGGGAAGTATCGACTGTCCACTGTTCAAATGACCGCAGTCCGTGCCCCCTCCCCGACAACGTACAACATGTGGGGAATGCCCTATCAATTATCTCCCATGAGGAATAACATTAGAGCGAGTAATGTACGTCTCACCACCTTCCCACTGATATATTGCACTATAATATCTTCTACCCGTGATTCACAATAGCTTTATCGCTTGCACCTGTAGGAGTCTCCGCTAGGTGGCGTTGTAAGACCGGCAAGGGGGTCTGTAGCTAAGCTAAGTCAGAACGTCCGCCACGCCCATTCGCACCTCCGTCACACGTGGTACCGTAAATGAGCACGGGGTACCGCTTTATCAGCACGACATCTCCGATAGCGACAACCACTTGAGCAAATAATTGTCTTAAGATGTCTCCTGATACGTTAATTTGCTACTTGTGGGGTTAGAATATACAACTCACTTGAAAAACTCACGGAATGTCAATTT